AATTACAGTTGGTGAAAAAGGGTATTCTGGAAGAAAACTGTTTAACAGAATACAGTGCTCTTCAACTGTGTGCAAATGCTGTGAGTGAAGTATCTCTATTTTTAATGCTTTTCCTAGAAAATGCAATGGAAGACAGACTTTTTATTATGACCCTAACTTTTGTTACTCTAAAAGATGTGTTGGACTGGATTAGAAGTGAGTCCTCCTTTCCAGTCTCTGCAGGACATATTCCAAGATAAACTGAGTTCATGACTGGGTAGTTACAGGTACCCTGTGTTCATAAGAGAAATTCTCAGCTGCCAGAATGTGTCCCATAGAACCATTCCATCAGCTGAGTTAAATCAGCTAAATACATGCTTCAGTTTGCAATGGGGCCACCTGAAATTTAGCAACAGATCTTCAACACAAGTTAAAGTACGTTCTGTGCTGCTTTATCTTGGTGGCTGATATGGTCCCATGGGGCCATTCGAACATGGAAATTGCTGTGGTCAATACAGTCTTACTAGGCACCTCCACAGTCCCAGCTATTCCATACTGTGAATCTCTACTGCATCTGAATAAAGGGCGTCTGTACGTTACTTATGAGCCACCTTTGGATCCTGTATGAATCTGCATTGAAAAAGAAGTTAATGGAGCCCAGTATTAGGCTCATCATATAAAAAATAGAAAATGGATAGTCAGTCTTAAATTACAGAAAAATCAAAGTACTACAGTCTGTGAGTTCCATGTCAGAATAATCCAGCTAGTACCCAATACAATTTTGGACACAGAATGCTTTGTCCAGAGCAACTAATTTATTTGAATTTATTGTTGAGTGCACTATTTGCAATTAGAGGATTGCCTTATGCTGAAAGGTCTTGGCTGATGTCTTAAAGCATAGCATGTGTCTAAGCTTTTATTAGATGGACACTGAATTTACATTCATTGGAAACAAAAAGGGTAACTTTTGTTTAAGAAAAATTTAAATTACATAGCTCAATTCTCATCCTGGCACCTCATGGAGTCCCATTGCTCCTCAGTAATTCCAATATGCAAACACCTCATGAGCAAAATCTACTGAACCTTCTGCTGTTACTTGTTCAGTTTTAACACCAGCATTATGGACAAGATCCTCTCTTTTTCACAGGTTCAGCATAAGGACTGGATACAATCAATGCATGAGATTCACCTGACCAAGCACAGATGCCTGGATGTGAGCTAGTCATTTTGATCTCTTTGAATGCAGAGAAACAGGTGCTTCTTTGGCACAATTAATCTAACCCAGAAGTAACTAATTACATTTGTCAGATGACTCACATCCTACAAGGGCCCACTTCTCTCCATTGATTAAAAGAGAACCTCAGATGACTTGCTCAAATGCAGACCTCCAAAAATTAGGTGAGAAGAATTCCTCCTAATATGTCTCAGGGCTCTGGTTGACAAGTGGGGATAGCTTGAGTAAGGATGACTGATATGGTTTCCATGTTAGATGACCATCCCATGGACATCCAAGTTGCTTGTCAGTCAACTTTGGAAGCACTGTGGTTGGCACGTGATGGACAGCTGGGGCAGTGCACTTGTCAGCCAAGAGACACTGACCTGGTCCTGCTCAGCAGTCAAGGCCCTTGCTTAAGCTATGTTTTGGAGGCTTAAGTGATACACAAGCCATGGTAACAGTACAGGTGGATGGATTTTATTCTAGATTAACGACAGTCAGATCTGTGAGAAAAATCTACATATGGATATTACTTGTAAATAACTTAGAACTATTTCCTTATATCCACCTTTTAATGCCTTTTTTTTTTCTGGCTTGCGTATCATGCATACTTTATTTTGTGAACTTTTCAGTCATGAAGCACTCTGCAATGTGGGCCAGATTCTCAAAAACAGCCTACTAGGTTTGCTTAAATTTATTAATTTTAAACTCTAACTGCACACTGCAATATGCAGGGTAACCAAATAAAGGTGATTTTCACCTGAAGAAAGTATCCCCTGTAACAAAGAAATTCACTCTAATTTCACATATACATTTGTGGCCTGCACAGAATTAAGCTCACATTTGAAAAATAACACCCGTTGGGTTTTTGTTTGTTTTTAAACGAAAAAAATAGGACCCCCTCCCCCCAAACAAGAGTAAGCTTGGAATTGGAGCAAGAGCAAATTAAGTGTTTCCAAAATGGGGAAAATATAAATTTGATCAAGATAACTATTATAAAAGTGGCATACTGCACCACAACAACAAAAACCCAAGCCATATAAACCCACAAAATCCTGGATTTACAACGTTTTTAATAAACGTCCTCACCCAAAGAATCCCTTGTTCTTTCCTTTCTGGTTACTCAAACTCTTGTTTATATAAAAAAATATATCTGATTAATAAATGTTTTAATATTGTTATATTTTTTCTATTGAAAATATATTTTCAGTAGTGTGATAAATTTTTAAATTAATTTCCATGAAATATATCCAGTTTATGTGCACATAACATGCTGCTCTGCATCCACACTACCAGGAATGAAAAAATGTGCAAAAGAGAATTTAAAAGTGCACATACATGGTTTGGATTAATTATGAGTAATTTTAAAACCCCATTAACAAATAACAGACTCATACCTCCTCGGAAATGTATTTAATTGTGAGAGAGGCTCCTTCCACAGATGTCACGTTGTTGGCCACAGAAGCAATGACAGGCAAAATGGATAACAAAATGATCAAGGAAAATGAACTTTTAAATTACTCTGTGATGATAGTATTTTTTAAAAAGCTTCAGGTAAGTATGATTTTTCTTTCCATAAGAGAACCTTTACCAAAAAATTATTCAGATGTGGAATTGGGGCAGAATTTTTCAAGTGACAGTCACAGGAAAGAACAAATGCTTTTTTTCCCCGCTAAAGGCCTGTGATCCTGCAAAATGCACATGCTTGTACAGTCCTACCGAGTTCAGTGGGACTGCTCATGCTGGGAAAATTATCTTTGTAGCTAGGACTGGAGCTGCCCTTCTTTAAAAAAAGCTCATCAAATTGGCATTGTAGAACACTGGTGAATCCTGATCTTTAGTAAACTTGTTCCTCAGTTAAATCTGTTTGGTTTTTTTTTAAATGAAAGAAAGGAAAATTTACTTAGTGCACTACTGTTATATCACTTAAACTAATGCAGTTATTCCAACATAAAGTGACAACAGTGAATCAGGCCTAGCATGCCCTACTCTGAACTGGTTGGAAGCATAATCTTTTCTGAGTTGCTTTCTGATTTTCCTTCTTTGCCACTGGTATACAATAGCAGCCTTTTCCAAGAGTTAGGAGATACATTTTGGTTTACAAGATGTAAATTAAGCAGTAAATATCATTATGATTACATGAATTAGTTAGTTCATTTTGATATACACATATATTATACTAATTGCCCAAATGCACGTTTTAACAGAAGAGTTGTAATGCTTGAGTATATTGGAATGCCACATAACTAAAAAACATCCTCCAAACTATATATAAATCAACAAAAGCATCTGCACCCAGTTTACATGTGACATGCATGTAGATCTGCGTGTGACTTCTACAGCACGCAGACATGCGCTCGTTCCCCTGTTCCCAGTAGCACGTATCCCATGCAAAAGTTTGGAAATGTAGCCCAGCATGTCTGTGTAAGCTGTCTGAATAGAACATGAAAGCTGTAAGTCTTAAAGAGGTACAAATATTATGTTAGGCCTTTGCAGACATTTTCTTGCATGTAAATATGGCTATTGAAGAGTTCTAAAGGTCATTGTCTTCAGTGTCATTTAGATAACTGTACTAAATGAAGATCTAGCCCATAGTAACCAGAGCTCCATTTCAGCAGAGTCTGCTTTTTACTTCTAAAAGCAGTTAGAAGTAGACTCAAGGCAACATATTATTACACTGCTGTCTTACGTCTCCTTTTCTGCCTACGTACAAGATAACTGAATACCGCAGTGTGTAACTTCCAGCATTAGTTGGTGGTTGTACCGCTGCCCTCAACCGGAGAATGATATGGCTGGCCTGCTCCTATGGGAATAAGCACATCACCCCACTGATGGCTGGCCCTCTAAGGTCTGCTGCCACTGGTGGAAATTATGCGTAGTTCAAGCAGCAGAGGCCTGCGTTTTTGGAACAGAAAGCTTTCTGAAGTCTATGTAGCCACGATATAGCTGACAACCATGTTTTACACACGGTTATGGAAATGTTACAAACAGTCTTCCAGTGAGTATTTGCCACGTAGTAGAAGCAAATGCTGACTATTACAAAAAAAAAAAAAAAAAGGTCTAGGGTGGTGAAGAATCCCAAGGATGAACAAGTTTTCCAACCTAATCTAAAATTTAAAGCATAAAAAGTGTCGAGTGCTAAAGTAATTAAAAATCAAGGACCTTAAGATTTCAAACAGATTTCTCTCACTATCCTCCCAATTATTCACACAATGAAAACTCACTACATAAAATCATCAGTCATTTCTGCAAACAATACTAATGTTTTGAGGCACCAGCTTACCAGCATTCAAACTATCGTAAAGTAATATAACGATAGGACCCATACGTCTGGATTTAATTAAGAGAGAAAATAAATATTTATGTCAAACTTCTTTTTGATTGCACATTTGGTATTGGAAGTTACATGATCACAGAACATGAAAAGTCAAATACTTTTTGATCTACCAGCAAACTCTAAATACATCGATAAAGAAGCCACACCAGGCCAAATAGATTACTACTTTCAAGTAAGTTCATGAAAGTTTCCCAAATAGTGTTATAGAAAGTTACACATCCATGCTGAGTTATTCATCAATGTGTAGCAAGAGTCTTGTAGTAGGCCAGGATTTTATCGGCAGATAAGTGGCGGAGGAGCTATGCAGTGTGATTAAAAATTCCAGTTTGGAAGCATTAACATAGAAGTACTTTATAGTCTGAACAGGAGATTGCAGTTCTTGAAGTTGGGAAGAGCAGAAGGGAAGAATGAGAATATTTTTCCATTTTATAAATGCTGAGGCACAGAACACAGTTGATTCTAGTACTTTCATACATGAAATCCTTTCTCCTGTATGTGCATCATGTGTAACCGCAAAGTCTGTAAACTGCTGACTATTCGTCTCTGGTGTCCAATGAGTACAACTCCAATTCTTCTAATGTCACTGCAAGATAAAAAGTTTCATCTTGGATGCAAGTATAGTAAAGCCTCTTGTACACAAAAGAGTATAAATATATGATGGATTGCTCTTCTTCAGGACAGTTTACCTTCCTGACTGGGACAAAAAAGAAAGCTGCAAGTGTTGAAGTTTTCTGCACCTGTCAATTCCAAATTTTTAAAGACAGCCATTTAAGAAAAAAAAAAAAAAGTAGTTAGAACTCTGGTATCTTTTGTGATACTAATGGTCAAGTAATTTTTCCAAATCTCAAGGAAGAACCCGAGAAGTGGGTTCTAATAGCCAATTTTTAATAATATGTTAGTAGCAAATGTTTCCCACTCATATTTGCAAAGGAACGGGGCTGATACGCTCACTCTTGCAGTCCTGAGGCAGAAATAACAGAGGCTGTACTTCTGATGATTAGGGGAATGGTGGTGAGAGATGGTCTAAAGATCAGAATAGCAGCGAATCTTCCAGCTTGACCCAGATTTTCCTCCCAGTTTCCCTTCATCTCATTTAGACCTGCATCCCAGAGTGGGTATCTCACCCACAGAGCTTGGCTCTTTGGCAAGAATGAAGTCGACAGCCTCCACCATCCAGCACAATCCACTCGTTTAGTTCTCTAAACATCACCAACTGCAAGATGCTGAGAAAGATCACAGAGGTGGTGAGGGCAGGAAACTTCAGATATGCCTTGTCAGTTGTGCAAATCCCACACTGGGACGTAGCATAGACATTGCTTGTTTAGATATCCTCAAAAATTGTTTGACGATATAGCTAGTAAAGGTGCTCACGGGATGAGGCATGACCTTTTCAGATTTGCAGTTCAGGATACCTGCCTCTGTATCCTCCAGAGGAATACCCACTAGATAGCAGCAACTATTATGTATTTAGGCTTAACATCGATGTGGGGGATGATACACAACACTTAAGGTCAGCAGGGACTATGCAAAAATACTGAGTGTCTTAGAAGCTAAAGAGTCAGCTAAAAGAATAAACCTTTACAGGGGCAAGTGGTATTAGAAATGCAAGAAAAATGCTTAGCACTTATCAAGGAAGGCCTGATAAAGCTCAGAAAGAAACCAGCAGACCTAGGGTAACAGAAGTTATTTGAAGAAAGAAGGAATCTTTCAAAAGGCTAAAGTAGTATTTAAAGAAAGAAAGTAGAAAGGATGATAACCTTAGACAGATAATCTGTAAAAGCACAGTAAGGAAGGCTAAAAAACTTGAGGAACAACCAGAAAAAGACACCTAATAATAAAACACTTAATAAATCTTTCAGCAAACTCACTGGGTACAAGAAGCCTGCCAGAGTGTCTGTAGAGTCTAATGATGATTTGGGTATAAAAGAGCACTGAAAGACTGGCCACTGTTGGAAGACTAAACCAATTATTTGAGTTGACATTCACTGAAGAAGAAATTGAAGTGACTCCCATGCTGGAACCTTTCTGGGGGACTTTCCAGAGGATCTGTCTGAAGTTGAAGCGACTGCAGGAGAGGTTATGGGACAAACTGAAAAAACAAGCAACAACCCACCTCCAGAACAAGACTATATTTAGCCAAGAGTTTTAAAAGAGCTAAAGGATGAAATAGTGGAATTACTAACAGGGACGTGAGAGAGGGAGCCGATAGCTGTGTTCCATGTGATTAAAAATTTCTTGGTACCTGAGGCATGGAAAGTGGTGCCAGACCAAATAAAAAGTTTCCAGGAGAGCTGGGGAACCACAGACCTGTGAGTCTGAAATCATCACAAGGCATAATAGAAACTACAGTAAAGTATAGAATTATTGGATAGATTGGATAAATCATCTACTTGAATCACCATGGCTTTTGCAAAGAGAAGTCCTGTTTTATAAAGTTACTTGTTCCCAATGGGGGAGTAGGCATACATATGGATGATGGCAATTCATTTGATACACCCCACTTGGATTTCCAAAAGCTTTAGAGAAGATTCCTCATCAAAGCTGTATAAGGAAAATAAAGATCTATGGCATAAGAAGGTCTTTGCGTGACTAAATAACTGGTTTAAAGACAGGAAGTAGGCATAAATTGTCAGGGTTTACAATGTTATCATTAATAGAAATCTTCAGGGACCTATGCTGGGATAATGTCAAACATTACTGTTCAACAAATCAGTCAGTGGTCTGGAAAAACAGGTGCGCACAGAGGTGAAAAAGTCAGCTGGTGAGAGACAGAATTGTGCAGGGTAGTAAGGGAAAGGGCCAGCTGTGAAGAGTTTTAGATCTTGTAAGACTAAGTGACTGCATAAAGCAGCAGATGAAGTTCAATGTAGGTGAATGTAAAGTGATACACAGGGGAGAAAAACCAGTCCTAACTTCACATGTAAAATTATTGAATCTTAACTGACCATTACCATTATTAATACAAACAGTCCCAGCATCAAATAAAAGATTATTCCCTTCTCGTGAATTCCCAGAGAACAAAATAGATCCTATCATTATGCTACCATATTAATCCATAGTTTGCTCAAACCCTTATATACTGGGTGCAGGGTTTTAATTTAAAAAACAATAGAGTGGTGTCAGAGACAACTGAAGAAGGGCAGCAAGGTGTGGAACACCTTCCTCATGGGGACTGACATGGGCTTGATGTTCATAGCAAAGTCAGAAAAGATTTTTGCCACTGATTTCAGTGGTCTAGATCAAAACTGATTTCCCAAGAAACATTTAAGGATGCTCACTGCTTGACCTTTGGTAGTGTTTGTTATGGTCACAGAATGAAACTATCAGTTCTGGGTCTCTTAATCATATCTTTCTCCTGTGTTGTTTTGGTAAAAAACTGTATTTGTCTTTTATTAGCTTAGGTAGGAAAGGAGATGAAATGAAAGCACTGTTCCATATATCATGATGATTACGTGACTGCAGCATCTAAACAAATTCAGATTGTTTAGTCACAATAGCGATAATAGATTACATACTTACTCAATATTCATTCTTGAAACCATATCCAAAGTTGTGAAACCTGCTGCCATGAAGTTATTTTTATACTGACCCATTTTTATGGACTCCAGCCAGTCACTGACTGAAACAAACAAAGGATATTCTGGAACTTCACCAGGTGAATCTGGCATTCTGTAAAAACAAAATGCAAATATTACCAAAGCAGTACAAAAATATAACACTCAATTTACTCTGGTGCTCATTATTTTTATTAAAAGGCAGAAGGAATGAGAGAGGAGCCTGAGCTGTAAAGGTCAGATCTTGACCTAGGATCAATTTAACCCACTGTCTAAAACTTACAAATCATGTCAGTCTGCCAAATTGCACTACTGAAACAATATTTTTTTTTAAAGCACTGCAGCTCAGTAACAAACCAAGGAACAGACCTCTCCCACTGCTCTTTTTTTTGTTTTCAGGGTGTTTCTTTACAGATCAGGATGATAATAATTTATAAATACAGTAGTCAAAGTAGAGGACAAACAAAATTTAATATGAGATACAATTTAAAAATATTAAAATGCTGTGAGATGATTTTTACATTTATCTACAAAAACCCCCAAATGGCTCCTTATTGTTATACCATTATGCAACGGGAACATTTTAATTACAGTGTTCAAAACCTAAAACTAAGCCTAAAAGAAGCAAAAAGAAATACAATTTTCTATCTTTGCTTTTACATAGACTTATATAGAGTAGCAAATAAAAAATGAAGGAGCTAATTTGGTTACATTTCTGTTTCAGTTCTTTTCCCTAATATTATTGCAACTGAAACAGAAAGGTGGGAGGAAAAAAAAAATATATATTCCAATTTTGGGGCATATATTTCCAGTCTTCTGTTGCATACCACACTGGTGAGGGCTCACAACTTCCATTGACTTTGTACATTTTGTGTAGAGAAACTGTAGGAACAGAATGCAGAAAGAGCACACTGCTGTTCATAAAAGCTTATGATAACCTTTAGGAGAAAGTTATAATTTATTTAAAATGAAAATTTTGACAGTAAAAGCCAGCCAACATTAACTGATGGAACATGACTTATGTATAATGTAGGAAACAACACACCCTAGTATCTTAACATACTGAGTTTCAACCACACATATTCAAATACATTAAACACACTGATTTTCATTTATATTATCAAAATGATAGAGAGCAAAACGGAAGGACAGAAGAACACTGTTAAGTACAAACCTCAGTTAAAGACCTGCTAAGGTCCCTTCCAACCTGAATTACTCTATGATTGTATGATTTTATAGAATAACTGCTGATCTCATAAGTTAACTAATTCAGTTTGACTGCATCAAACATTCCCAAATGAATGGAAAAACTCTCCCAAGCAGGTGAGCTCAATAAGAGCTCGACTGCAAGAAAACAGGCATAAGTTTTTAGATCTTAAGTAATGTTTTAAAATAAGAATAGATAAAAATGCATTACTCTGATGCTAAATAAAGTGACCCAGGTACAAGTAGCAAGACATATATTATTTATATGCACATACACAGAAAGGCCACTAACTCTAGTGCATGGGCATTAAATCCCACAAGCCTCAGTGGTTTGTGGTAGATGCAATGGCTGTAGCCCCTAACTCTAGGTTTTCCTAGTAACCTCTCCATTCAGCCTTTACCACAGCAAGATACCAGCCTCAGTCTTTGCCTTATGACTCAGCCCTTCTCCAAACCATATAAAAACCCCCTCTTAACCCACTTAGGTTCTCAGCAAGACACAGCCAGGCCTTGAGAACCCCTTATAAACCCAGGGGGTCTCCATGAAAGCACCTTTATCTTAAGGTGAGTTTCAGCTAATGAACAGAGTGAGGCCACCTGGACCTTCACTGATTTCAGCTGATATCCAGGGACAGCTTGGATCAATAAGCCTACAAAATTGACAAATTCTTCCACCACAACCTTGCTTCTCCTGTGGCTGCATTCATTTCTGTAATATTATTCATGGAAAAAAACTTTGGGCAACACCATCAAGAATTTGTTTTGGAATGGTAATAGCATAATCTCTTATTTGGTCACTGTTGCTATTCTTCTGCAGATAAATAAAGATTTAGCAAGCTAAGACACAACTACTTTCTACAGGAAATTACTCCAAGGCAGTTCAGAAATTGCTTGAGCACTGCCAGATGGAGAGACAGGCTTTTGAATAGAGAAAAAAATTACAAAGAGAAAACGAGCACATAGGAGGAGTGCCAAAAAAAAAAAAAAAAGAACAAAGAGAATCACAAAGATTAAAGATAAGACAGTGCACAAACAGAGCTCAGACCAAAAAAAAAAAAAGAAAAATGCCCAATACAGTCTGCATGACTTGAGAAAAAAAAAGTCCTTATACAACACTGTATTAACAATAAAGCAAACCTTAAAAGGGGCTTAAAGTTATTTGAACCCCCATAACTTTGTGAATTTAGCATTTTGTGGCTCTCTCCCACCCCTACTTAATGCCCTAAACCATCTAATGATAGCCACCATGAGTTATAAAAAAAAAAAAAGTACCAAAAAGAGTCTTACACAAGTACGTCCTCCACTAGGTTATGAAGGGTGCTCGGATTGCGGATCAGTTTGTCTAGGAAGCTGACAATGTCACTAAACTTTGGACGGTGGTTCCTCTCCTTTTGCCAGCAGTGAAGCATTAGTTGGTGAAGAGAAGCTGGGCACCCCATGGGAGCTGGAAGCCTGTAGCCTTCTTCAATAGAGAGTATAACCTAAAGAAATACAATGCGTATGATCACTGGGCATTAGAGTTAAATGCTGAAAGGACAGTGTAAAGTTGCAATTAGAAACCAGTGAAAACAATTAACGGCACAGCCGTGCTTGCTGTCTGCGTTGCTGGGCTTTCACTCAGGGAATCAGGACTGGCAGGAGTGTGACCAGAGGAGATGCAAAGTATTTTGTAGGCATATGAAACACAGTAGGCACTTTTTTAGGCTGTCCGGCCATCCAAACAGCCAAGAAAGGAGGAGGAGAAGAAAGAACTAACCAGTATCACTTATCTTTTTCATCCACTTCAGGTTGATGTACTGAATGGGGTCACAGGGCCACAAACTGACCTCCTGTGGCCACCGCATACTGGAATGCTCTAACATTTGCATCCTGACTGTGTGTTAAGTGTGTGGCAATGTCACAGTACAATCAAGCACTACAAATGCACATTGCAGCACCTGGCAAATTTACTTGGTGATAGTATGTTTCTGCTGATCGTTAGAGTATGATTAATTCAGGCAATGTCCCACACACCAAGTTACTGCGAAGCACAACATTATTTTGCATAACCTCTCTCAGAAACCTGGATGTCCAAGCTGTTCATGACTAAACAAAAGTTAATAAAATTCTGGTGTTACCGTATACCGTAAAGTGAGTAAAACTTTCAGATTCAGCAGGTGTGGAAAGCCTGTGTTTGGTCAGGATTTGGAAAGAAATGGATCTGATGTCACAGGTAAATCACATGTATGAAAAATTACATTTGATCAGAGTTGAAGGAAGGCTTGTTTTTAGTGACACTGGTAACAAATAACATTGTCTGAAAAGGACATTAGCAGCTCTGCACAATAGGAGGTAACAAAAGTAGGCAAGGTCCATGAAAAGCTGGCTGGATTCATTCTATATAAGATTTAGAAGACAAGAGGAAAGGTTACTAGGTTCTGCAATGAGCGGTGGTAGCAGTGGGGGATGATGATAGAAATTACATAGTCAGGATTTCCAAAAGTATGGAAAGATAGAAAGTGGTTGATCAAAAACAAAGCTAGGAAAAAGACCAACCCTACCTCACACACATAACCCTTCCACATAAAAATCCAACCAATGCTAAATGTTCTCTAAAGTACAAATGATTGTACACAATATTTATAATAACACCGTGCACTTATGAGAAACATACCTACTGCATTTATACCCACTCTGCTTTAAGGAGACATTTGTCATTTTCACACAGACATATGTACACGCCGCAGACATTAATGCAGCTGGAAGGTGGTACATTAAACTATTTACAGCAAATCAATGTTTTATAGCACTAGCTGTAGCTTCAATATATTCAATCTTATTATCCTGGAATATATCCTCATTCTCTTTTTGAATTCTGAATTAATGTTGTTGGATCTGTTTAGCAGTACCTAATGCTTATGCTGCAAGTATTATGCAAATAAATAAGAATAATGAAGCTACATTAGGACCTTAGCTTCCCTTCATGGCATGGTAGAAAAATGGAACAAGACTCTTGTAGCTGTATACAGCTCAGTGTCCCAGTTTTATAAAATGAGGTGACCTTGTCCTACAGCGTATAGCCCTCTTGTATCCTGGCAGAAACACCTATGCATGAAAAACAACTGTTTGCCACACGGCAGGGAATTGGATTTGCACGGGTTAAGTTTCGGACCCATGGGCAACAGCACTGAGAAGTACAGGCCACTCCAAAGGCAGCATTACTTGCCACAGGGATCTCTGAATTTTATGCACCTGTGTGTATTGACAGATCACATCTGTGCGTGCAGACAGGACTGGCCATGCACATACAGAGGTGATATCTACCAGTAAATGATATGTCAATATGATAATCCTTCCACCTGCCTTTCTGGCTACTTGTTTATCTCCTTGGGATTTACTTCAATGTCCCAAATCCAGGCTGCTGAAATGGCTGCTATAGGAAAAAATACCATCAGATTGCCAGAGAAATATTTCCTCTGAAGCCTTGCTTCCTAACGATGAATATGCCCCCCGGATTGCTCCTGTAACAGACTCAGGATGGATGAAACTGAACTGCATGTACCTGAAATTTTATTCACAAAACTGTCAAAGCTCATGTATCTCAAGCAGTTTGTCAAAAGTGGCTTCATAAAACATAGGTACTTGTTACAGTCTGGGGCATAGCTTAGTTGATACTTGTCACTGAAGAGGCAATCTTTAGCAGCCCAGAAATGCAGATATCATAGTCTTTACATTTAACTGTACCTGTTGCAAATGATGAATTTATGAAATGTATTTTGTTTTTAAGGCAAAGGGAAAGCTTCTCCACTGTTATAAGACATAAAGCACTTGCTCAACACAACAATAGAGAGCTGATGAGGTTTTTCTGAAATAATTTATTCAGGAAAAAAAACAAACCCAAACCCCCAAATTTTCCAGACATCATATTTTCTCTGACACACTCTATTTTACCATATCTTTGAAAAAGAAGTTACAGTGCATTTTGTTTCCTCTCTTGTTCAAAAGGAACATTTTAGTATGAAGGGAAATGCCAGCTGGTACTGGGATAATTATAATTTCTCATTAATAACAGCACATTTTAAAAATAAACTGCAAATATTGCCTCATTAGTATCCCTTGTGAGGCAAGTATTATTTTTAGAGTCTAAGAAGCAAGAGTAAAGATGTGATAAGTGTCTAATACTGCAATGGGAATCATGTCTCATAGGAAAAATTAGAGCTTTTTAGTTCCTTATTTATTTATTTATTATTAATTTGTTTTAGCTCCTGCTTTGCTACTTGCATAGCACCTATCTCTGAACAGAGGAATTAGATATCCATATACCTAAAAGGGAAGAAGTATTACATTTTTCCTGGTAATATAAAATTATATATTATATGTGAAGACTATACATGTTAACATCTTTTAAATGCTTTTTTCCTTGCTGATTTAAGGTTGAAGAAGCACATTAATCATGAAATGGTCTAAACTTCTGTATCTACAAGAAGGATATAGCAACAGCTCTAGCAATTGGTGTAACTCTTTCCACATTGGCAAATCAACATCCCATCTACTTCAACCTGAAAGAATAGGAACGTTACCTTAGTTTCTATGCAAACAAAGCCCTGAGTCTGCTAACAAAAAGGCTGATTACTGCTCTCTAGTTCTGTTTTTGTGATGAACACTTGATAGGTATCAAAAGGAGAAAAACATGCAAATATTCTGTGCTGCTGTCAAATGCTGAGAAAGAGACTGTATGTTTCTTTTCAGCGATGAGTATGTTTAAAACTCATTAGAAGGTCTTGTGGGTCAGCATTAAGGTGAGTAAAATGGGCAGGGTGTATTTTTACAAGTAACGCTTTTTGGCAGATAAGAATATAAACTATAAGGGAAAAGGAATATTTTTTGCAGTTAACATAGCTAATGATTTCCATACTTTTTAATGCTTAGGATTTTATTTTTATAAAGGGGACCATTCTTTTTATATATTTTTGTACACAGATGATATTAAAGACTGGAGCCTGTTAAATACATTTTATCATTTTTGTTTGATGTTAGACATAGCTGTAAAGGTTGAAGACAGAGTTAATATTAAATATTAATTATGATACCAAAATTACCTGAAAAATATTTTATGGACTTCTATATAAAATTTATGCATGTTTAGTTTCAAAATCATTTGAAATTGGCAAAAATGGCATCTGAAAATTAAGCTGTAATCTTTCTGATAGTTTCATTATTAACAGTAACATAGATTTTTTAATGAGACTGAGACAGAAGAAAGTCCAGAGGGATGTTGTCCCTGTGTCCTGCTGACATCTGAAAAATCTACCAGGAGGGAGAGACAGCTGCTCATGCCTCATGGTACGGAGCCAATCCCAGGTGCCTGCCAAGTGTTTTGATGTCTGTGAGTTGAAAGAACTATATTAGGGTAAGTTAATTTTACTATTACAAGAAACTTTCCTACATGTAAGGACTTTTATTCTGTTTGCTACAGTAGTTTTCTTGCATATTGATTACAATCCATTAAATATTCTTTTTTCTTTTTTTTTTTTTTAATACTGTAGTTCTGCAACATGGACTAATTTATACAGTGGCCTCTAACAGGTGTCCCAGTAGAATTCACTCACAGCTGTTCTACAAACCAAAGGCATGGAATATAAATCTTCCTTTCCTCACATGAGCATTAGCAAGCCAGGCTCATAGCACAATCTGTTCATCAGTATATTAGTTTCCTTCGAAAGTTCAGTATCTTAGCTAATGTTTATTAATTAAGCAATAAGACACGACAGACTGTGCAGCAGCCCTAATTAACGGACACCTCTGGTGCCTGCCACACATCTAAGAAGTGCATTAATCAGCACCAACACAGGTCAGAAGTGACTTACCACAATAATAAAATGGTTATTTACTTAAACAAGAACATTTCTCAAAGTTAATAACATTTTTAAGCCTCTACATTATACCAGTATTGTATATATTATACAGTACAGTATTAAAAATTTTATGAGAGGCATTTTCAAACTCAGTTGCCTAAAGTTCAGCTTCCAAATCCCTGCTTAGGAATATAAATAGAGGACACTAGATGCAGAGATGTTGGGTCTCTCTGGCTTGCACTGACCTGATGGGTACTTGTGAACAGCTGTAGTCTCTGAAAAACAGACTGGGTTTATTTAGGTGGCAAGTATCAGTTTAACACTTCTTTTTGCATCAGCGTGGGCTCCATGCTACCTGTGCTGGCTCCTTGTAATTTGGTGGCTGTGACTGAGGGGTTGGACAAGAGTCCCTCAGTAGACTTAGCTCAGTTCATCTGACTGAACATGTGTTCACATGGCAAATAAGCACCGCATCAGACAGTGCTGAACTCACCTCTCCTAGCATTGCCTCCCTTTGTGTAGGGGTGGGCATATCATTGGTTTCTATGTTATGCATGTAAGAAATAAACATTTAACTGGCAGCCACTCAAAACATCACTTACTCAGCCATGGTCTAAAAAAAATGAATTAATCTTCCCAAAGTTGTTTAATTAGAAAAGCAATTTGTAAGACAGAATGTGAAAACATAGACCCAGCTCTGTGGAGTTCTTGGAACTCTTGCAAAACTTTTGGTACTTTACAAAATCCCACCCAATTCAATAGATATTTTATTGCTAATTAGAGAAGAATTTCATTATGATCAAAACACAGTAAGTGTTGTGATGTTAATGTTGCCAGACATCTTGTTGTAGCAGAACCTCTGACTATACTTCTGTGAGACCTTATTAACATTTGTTTGCATAATGTGTCTTTTATGAATCTGTTTAGTGCATGCCCCTCTCTGTTACTTTCCCTGCCATATGTGCAGTATCACTGACCTTTGGGAAAGTCCTATTATTTCTGCAAAATAAGCTCATGTGAATTCAGGGTAATTTATTGGACTAAAAGAAACATCCCAATATCCAGCAAAGTAAGCTTTACAATATGTCTAATAACTTGAAATTTCCCAATGACATTTAGAGTCACTAAATGTATTTAGGTCACAGGTGCTCAATGTTAACATTTCGGCACTGAAAACCTGTGGGTAGGGCTCTGGAGAAAAGGAGTCCTTTGTGCTGCGTGTTGCTGAACTGCAGGGAGAGACCCCAGGAGTCAGCATCATTAGCATAAGCAGCATCCATAGGGCCTGCATCATTATTCTGTATTAACAGATACTTCTATTTTGGATGTAGGAGTAATTAAATGTTGCTCTATTCATGCTGTAGCAGAATATTTAATATATGCTAAATGGAGGGGTCACTTTATAGATTCTCACTGCTGGCATGGCCTTGAATAAATATGTCACAGGGTCTGATATAGGGGAAGAGGACCAGCTGAAGCCAGCCTCAAAGAAAGGGAGAGGCAGCTGGAATTAAGGTCTGTATTGTGCACTACTCTCACCCGGTGACTTGGACTCTATGTGAGGGTCTGACCAGTCATTCAAACCCTCTTCCCAGGAGGTGAATAGTGGGGCTGAATGGACTTGATAGAAAGTCTCTCTCTCTCTCCCCCGCCATTCCCCGTCAGTGGTAATAGCAGTGGGAGAGTCAAGAGGTGGGCTGGTAATGGAGCTGGTGTGAGGAGGATTATGAGTACAGCAGAGGTAAAAGAGATGATGGCAGTTGGGTTCCTCATAGAGAGGTGACCCAATACCAGATGAAATCACTCACAACTGGAATAGAGACTGAAATTCCCCATGTTGTAGCACAAGATCGCATGACAGTGGGACAGGATGATACAGCAAAAAAGTATCTTCAACTCCCACCTCCTTGAGCTGCAGTCACTGCCAGCTGCCCATCGCTTGCAGTTAGGTAAGCAGACTGGCAAGATGAGGGGCAGAGGCAGAGTTATAGAGAGGCGACATTGCAGTTGGAAGCACTGGCACTGCACAGAAGCCAGGCACCATGGGAGGGCTGAAGTTCAGACCGAACTGAGGGCCAACTTTGTTCACAAGTATCTCTGGCTTCACGGGCTGCTTTGATCTCTAAAAAAACCAACCATGAATAGGGTGCTGCAGAGGGAAGGGAGAAATGAAATACCAATTACACAGTAAGGAAAATGAGGCAAAAGACTACTGCCCACGATACGCTCAGAGGACATGCCAGTGGCAACTGACAGGGGCAACAGTAGAAAGGACTGTGAGCCGATGCTGCATTTATGACAGTGCTCAGGCAGTGCTAATGGGGGTGAAAGGGAAAAAAGTAAATGCCCAGTGCACCTTGCTTGTAAAGGCACATGTGGTCATTGTGCTTACTGCTCAGTGTTGCATGTGCCCTATAGGGGCACAAACAGAAAACCATGAAATTCCATCAAAATGTAAGAAAACACTTTTCTATTGTGCATGTGATCGAGCACTGGCACGGGTTGCCCAGAGAGGTTTCAGAGTCTCAATCCTTGGAGATACTCAAAACCTGATCGGAGATGGCCCTGAGCAAAATACTTTAGCTGCCCCTGCTTGAGCAGGGGGCCTGGACCAGGCAATCTTGAAAGGTCCCTCAACCTCAGCTGTTGTGTGATTCTGTGATTTGCTAGTACCTTTTTCTCAGTTTCTTGTTCTGTTCAATCTCGCATTGAAAGAAGGCTCACAGTGAAACTAACCATTGCATCTATTCATTTGGGAAGGCAGAAAATTTGAGGCTATACGTGCATTTTGATACAAAGTGCATTCCATGCAATGCAGAGTAATCAGCTTTTGCAACAGCATCCTAACGATGAACACGCTGATATTGCTGTGGCTGGAACGGAAGATTAGCTCAAGAATAGCACCCTCTGGTACTGCAAGGCTGAAGCGATGTCCCAACTCCTTAGCAATCAGCTCCTAAAACACCACATCTTACGATGCGGCTTTTTTAAGGAAAACAAGGGCAGTTTGCCTTTGCAGTTCGGGACCTGATAAATGGCTCTCAGTTCAGGCAAGGTACAGGGGCTGGGGTACTCATATTGTTAGTTGGAGTCTGCTTGTTTATTATCTTTTATTAACTTTGAACTCATTGGCCCACTTCAATCAAATTAACAAGTTGCCTAAGAATCAGAAGCTGGGCAAAGGCATAAAGTTGGTTGTAGGACATAGAGACTTAAATATATGAGAAATCTATACACAGATGATTTCACACTGTACCCCAGGGGAAAAGTAGCCTTAATTCAGTCGTCTAAGCTTAGGTGTCTAATTTTAGGCTCCCTGGGGTATCCTGTCTGGACTGCTCCAGAAGGACTCAGGTCTTCTGCATGTCCTGTGTCAGCCACACGTGGAGATCTTCGTTACTCTAGGGCATCTCAAATGCCAGCAGATTGCTAGCTGTGAGAAGCAGAATTGAGCCTACTGGACTTAGCTGCTTATTTCACAGTAGATCCATGATGTGTTTATAGGTCAGGTAGTACCAAAATAATGTCTCCATTGAAGAGAAAAATTCTCAGTGGTTGCTTGTTCTCTTCAGATGGGCAACCAGCCACCACTGCCTGGTCAATCAACAGAAGCATAGCTCAAAACCAGGCACAGCAGGTATTGTCCCATATCTGGTGTTAATCAAGGAGCACAGCAGGGAGCTGGGTTGCTGGCAGGCAGATGCATGGAGAAGGGATGGAGGATGTAGGCATTGTCAGGGGATAATGATCTACAGGAGAGCTGGTCTAATTCCAAAGGGCAAACTCACGAGGGAAATGCTGGAGAGACGTAGGATTATAGTATTGGTGAGGTGGTAGAGTACAAATCCAAAGGAAATAAGGATTTATTAGTTCTTTTAGTCTTTTCTGGTTTGGGTGGTTTTGGTTGGTTTTTTTTCTTTTCTTCCTGAAACACTCTGAAATGATGTTTTTTTAATGAAAATCTCTCTCAGATCCTTATCCCCAAATGACTGATCAGCCTTAACAAGCAACCAGACTCAAACGGCTGAATAACTTAGCAACAATATAAAAACAGCCATCTGGGAAAAGTCTTGTCAACTCTTCAGAACCAATGCAGAGGTATTCTAGGCACATATATGAGAGAGGTTATGACAGGTTGGCTGATATTCTGCATTTTGACATAGAGATTGATGGCTGGTGTGAAGACTGAGTATACCAGTTCGAGCTGTCATGGGGATCCATCAGACAAGAGCATTAGTGAAAATTTAAATTGTGGTGGAGAAAAAAAAATTCCCCTTTCCCATGCCTCATTTTCTAGAACAAGCCTTCAATTTTACTAGAAGCAAATATGGTTTTTTTTTAATTGGGAAGGCTTATTTGGCCACAACTTTTGGAAAAAAAAAGTCAGAGGAAAACATAACTTTGTTATGAGGGAGGACTATTGTCCTGCACTGTGGTTAAGCCTATACATAGTTTTTGAGGTAAACAGAATGCATTTAATTCTTAGAAAGGAGAATTAGCAAATACATTTCTCATGGCAGCTTAACTCTTTTAGAATTTAACCATGTATGCCCACTGAAGGGTACTGTCAGGCTGTACTGGAGGTAATGGGCCAACTTCATCATCAGAATAGTTCCAGTATACCCTCAAGTTTTGATTTATAGCTTAACTGAGACCTGCATCAACTTGCATATCTGATGCAGATTCCCAGGGGTTTGGATGAAAGCCACATATAGCGAGCATTAGAACCTGGCAAGCTGACTATGACTCTCGACTCTTTGTAATATGTCTTTAGTCCACAGGACAAAGCTAGTCAAGGTTTTAGTTATAGAGGGTCAAGTCTTCAGGTTGCATAAATTAACATCCCACTGAAGGTGATAAGAGTTATGCTGATTTAAGTAAGTTAAGGTTCCAGCCTAGAAAGTGAATGAGAAAGCAAAGCAGGGCAGGGAGTGACAATCATTTTCAAGGAACATTTCAACAACTTGCAGATTAGTCCTAGGCAATACTTACATCCTGATTGGACATCTCCCAGTATGGTCTCTCACCGTAGGACATCACCTCCCACATTACAATCCCATAGCTCCATGCGTCGCTTGCCGAAGAGAACTTCCGGTAAGCTATAGCTTCAGGAGCAGTCCACCTTATGGGGATTTTTCCACCCTGAAAAATATGTTGAAAACTTGCCAATATGACTAGAATACAGAATAGCACATGTTTAAAAGAAAAGAAAAAAATAAATATCCTGGATGCTGAGATTCTACATTCCATCTTCTGTCAATTTGCCTTGTCAATTTGCTGCAAGTGGAAAGGAATAAATATACCTTTTTTAGAATTTGATAAAAATTTGGTTTCATTTGTAGTTCAATTCACCAAAACCAGCACTTTGTGAAAACAAAATTCAGTTCAAAGAACAGAAAGCATTTTAGATGATTCATGTTTGTTCAGTCACATAATTAGTCAGGACATGCCTTTTGATTGAAAATATCCCAAGCCTGAAATTCCTAGTACATTGACATTTAAACTCTTTCTCCTTAAATGAAACCGAAACATCTATTGCAAAATAGAACACCAAAAGCACTTAATAAAATTACATAATCTGAAAGGAAACTACAGTTATTCTTTACTTTTGATAATGTCTTTTAATTTTTGTTGTGCCCTTTAAATATCTGGGTAAATAGCAAACCAAGTGTGTTTCTGATAGGTGTTTCCTTAAGATATTGAATAGTTTCGTTCTGCGGCTTTCAACTTAAAATCCAAGTGCTACCACCTAAAAAATTTGTAAGAATTCAATCAACAAACCTTACTTACTCTTTACAAGACCTCAGGTTGCAGAACTTTTCTCTGACATTAGTAATTTAAGCCATTGAATCTCTTCTATTGTCCCATAAATAGTTTATGTATGGAAACTACTTTTCTATTTCAGAACAAAGTATTTCTTCTCCAGATACATTTCTCTTTTCAAAAGTATCCATTTATGATCATTCTCCATTTAACGAAGTAGAGAGAGAGAGCAGTACGCTTAAAGTGCCACTAGATGGTAGGAGGCAGTCAGTAGAGCTGAGCTCACTTGGCAGCAGTTGCTTTCAATAAGCAGTAATAGATTCTGCTCAGCGTTATAATTGTATTTCTGACAGAAACAAAAGACAAAATGAACTAGAACATCCGTTTGGCAGTTGAAGAGAAGCCACAGTTAAAAACAAGTATGTAAATCTCTGTTCATTTGCTTTGAATATATAAAAAAATTGTGAGTTGTTGAGGCCCGACTTCAACTGACTGAGAACTTGCTTGTTCTACCAAAAGAGTGTTCAAAAGCAAAGCTCTGTGTCTGTGATGTGCCAGTAAGCTAACTTCTCATCACTGAGTCTCACCTGCTAATGAAAAATGTATGGTTAACATTTATGTTGTATGATAGTTATGATAGTAGCCAAGATGTCCTTTGTATGATGTTACATTTTTGGCAGCTGCCTTTTTAAAGCCTTTGCTTGCTCAGCTGTGGTTGAAGTCAGTGGCAAACCACTGACTGATTGTAGCAGTAGTAACGTAAAGGTAATACTTTATTTTGTATTTTTTCCCAAGCACCTCCCCTACACCCTTTTCTTAATCCAATAACCTGGTGGTCAGATCACTCCTCTGGCATGTCAGAGATGCAAAGGACTTTACACCCCACCTGCTGCCATCTCTGAACCTGCCCTAGCCAGCGCTGCAGGGTGTGATGCTCTTGGTCCCTTCCTGGTGCAGCTGTTCCACTTGGGAAGCAATTACAAATGCTTTTGGGTACGAGAATGAAGAAATAGGGTGACAAAGGAAATTTGTGATAAGACATTCTCTAAGGAAAGACCAGCCTAATTTCTTGTCTCTTCCTCAGGAAATAGTTAAACCTTCTGAACAAATTGGATAAGAGCATTTGGTGCTCAATCTCACAGTCTGGTTGGAATGGTGTTTTGGTGGGATATGCGAGTCCAAGCTTCCCGAGGCAGTGGAAGATTTAGATATTCAGTGCCCCAAATGTACACTACACACTGTGCTGTCCAACCACAAGGATGTCCCCTTTGAGAAACAGGGAAACTGCAGAATATAGTTCAAAATATCTCCTCTTGCCACAGAGTTATGGGCCTTATCCATTTTACTGGATAGGCTTTAGTCCTTTATTTTTAAACATTTTATTGCCAAACTTATGTAATTCCATCCTTAGATCCCTGGCTTTTGCAGATTTTTGGGGACAATCAATATTTTCCTGGCCTAAGTCACAGGGTCGTGGTAGGCTTTTAATTCCTTCTTTGGACCTGGACACATGCACTTGCAAAAAGGTGAACAACAGTCATGCTGATCCATATCACAAGAGACACTGCCCTGACAACCCTAAACACCTTTCCTCATCATCAGCATATCACTCCTGACTGATAAATGATGTAGAAGGTGAGATGCTTGCTCTGACACAAGAGTTCACTGTCTGAACCTTGTCTTAGTGAGCAATCCCCCTTGATGCACCTTTTGCTTTATGTCCGTTCCAGATACTTTCTGGAGTGCCATACCAGCATTCAAGGGAGGATGCAAAAGAAAAATTCTGTATTTTTTTTCCTTATCACAGATCTCAGGAGATGACAAGAATAAGAGTCTACCAGTTTAGATTGTTGTGTTACTGCAAGACTTTGTTTATCAAGACAAACTGATGAATCAACAAATTTACTATGAGCCTACATTTCTAATTTATTATTTTTTGAATTTTAATGAAAAATCTTACATTAGTAATTAAATATCTACTTTCAGGGAAAACACAAATCTATACATGCAAATAAAAGGCATTTGGATATTTACAGATTTTACTTTTAATGTTTATAACATAACATGAAAATTATTTTTTAAAGTGTGTTCTTTTCATAAATCTGATTATGTATTCCCAAATCATACTCAAAAAAGAGGTCACATCTCAAGCAGCATTTGCAGCTAGATTTGTGACTATTGGCTAAGTATAAATGAGTCTTAAAGAATCTGATTAGACTCTACAACTAGTTTCATGATACAGCTTTACTGACTGATCCCTTTTGGACTGAAACAGTAGTGGCTCATTGAGTGTGAAAATGAGAATGGAGAACAGAGTCTTAACAAAATCCAAGGCAGTTCATGTTCAAGGGCATAAGATGTTCAGTGTTGTAATGTGAAATAAAATTCTTTTCTGCTAGCTCTAATGACAAAGTGGAGCAAAACCTCTAAAATTTTTACAATGGATTCATCTTATGTATGAAGATGTTACATTCATGAAAATGTAGATTACAATACTTAATTATGTTTGCAGAATATCTTTTTATGCAAAAAAGTTGTTTTATTTATTTGAAAGCCATTCAAAAGGTGGAGATTGCAATATGACTACTTTAAGAGACGCCTATGACTGAACAGTAATAATAGCTGCTCATGCGTACTAAAAGAACACATAAGGTTTAGAACAGCTGAAAACATATTTCCTGTTTCTGATTAGAGTAATAAACAGTGTTACTGATATTGGACATGTCTTTTTACATTTTGATCTAACTGGGAAAATAATAAATATAATACTGTTTACACAATGCCTCACCTTCAAATTAAGATAATTTATAAATCATCTACATTTTACTACTGTAGCAATGAAATCTGCTACAGCTCCCTCTATCAGAAAGCCCTTATGGAAGGCTGTTTTGTTTTTAGATTATTCTCTCTCTTTTGGGGGGTGGGGGAAGGGGGAGAAGGGGTGTTAGGAACCAAATTGTATTTCTGCCGCATCTCATACATGGATAATGATATCACTGATAAGCTAATTTTATTTTCACATAGCAAAAGAACACTAACACTGCTATTCAAATAATTAGAATTCAGCCTTTGTTTTCCATATGCTGCCAGCTGAATAGTGTCTATCTCCTGATTTTTTTCTTGATTGTAATTTAATAAGCAATTTTACTATGCAGTGTCAAAAATCCCCTTGCAATTAGAATATTAGGCTCTCATTGCTTAGCTTGTAGAACTGTTTAGAGATCAGCCCTTGAAATGAAATTTAGCCCCTCACCCACCCACACCCTCACTCACTTTCCCTACAGAGCTGGCAACAGCAGAGTTTGCTACACATTTAAAGACAGAATTGGAACTGCATGTCACAGAATGCCTCATTCTTTACCTCAAGCTATGCATGAGAGAGACAGTCTTCCCAAAATGCCATTTCTTCTTGGAGCTTAGAACAAAAAAGTGCTTATGATCTGTTATGTGAAAAGACCCCAGCGAGGCAACTGACACTGACATTATGTATCGTCCAATGGGCCACAAAGTCTATTCCTTACTCTGCATTTTTCCCATCTCCCATTTGATTTTTTTTTTTTAATTTTACATGTTAGACATCTTTTTTTAAAAAGAAGAGACATTAACAGTTTCTTTAATAAAATATTTAAACATATTTTAAAATTCCAGCAGAACAATGTAACTGGCAGCTATGGCCCATTACTCTACGAAGATGAAGGTCAGGATATATCAGCAACCTCAAACTGCTTGATGTGAAAAATGACAGAGAGGGCACAGAGGCAAAGAAGGAAGCCCATTAGATGCCCAGACTTTTGGCATGTCCTGCTAGCTAATTAAAGTGAGCAGTGATGCTACTGAGAACCTTAGATATAAAACTGAAGGCAAGATCTATGAGCTCCTACTGGATGTGCAAAGACAATGATACACGTAAGCAGCCAGAAGCAAACACAGTGCATCAGACTCATGATATCCCAGAACTAGCAGTTATGTGAAACAATGCCTATGTCTGTTGAAAAGCCTGTTCCATATTTTCCTTGAATGACAGACACTGCAGAGGGACTGTCACAGAACTGGCTGCAGTTTTACTAAAAGCTGAGGTGCAAAGCCATCAGTTCCAGATGCACAGACGGCTAGAACTGTCTATTTCTTGGACAAAAGGTACCGAACTATGTGCACCATTAGTCTAATCTGGCACAGTAATTCCTATGCATCTGTCAGTTACTATTCCTTTATGCACAATGTTACTGAATCGTGCAATAATTTTCCATGACACAAGTGTAGTATCTGTCTCTTTCTCCACCTCAAATGACAGAAATAGGGAAAAAAAAAAGAGACCTTCAGAGTGAAGAGAGACAAAAGTAATGAAAGAGATTAGTTTTAAATATTGGACATAGTTCATC